CGAATTCTTACTCATGTTCCTAAGATTGTCATCCCGAGCTCAGAGTATCTGCTTTATTGAAATATTTAATATTCGTAAAATTATAAATAAATGAAGTTTGCACATTAAAATTCAATAATATTTTAGAGTTTAAAACATTTGAAAACATGATAATTGTAATCTACGTACCAAGATTAACAGAAAAAATAGTTTAGTTCATTGAAATTACTATGGTTAACGCATTTTAATTGAATAATAAAAATTGGCATATCTATATTTATAATTAGAGTGACGTCACGCTTCTTACGAGGGTCGTTTGAAAAGTCCGTGCAAAGTCAGAGTGATGGCGCTACTAGTGCATATCAAGGTTATTTTCAGTTAGTGGCATATCTTGGAAGAGCACACACCAAGTTTCAGCCAGATCGGTCAATTACTTCGCGTTTTACATTCGATTCAATGAAAGAAATCCAGTGGTTGTAAAAAAATGTACGAAAAAGAATTTCGTGTATTGATTAAACATTACTTTTTCAAAGGCAAAACGCCTCAGGAGATTAAACAGAAGCTTGATAAACATTATGGTGATTGTGTACCTTCGATTAGAATAGTCTATAAGTGGTTTCAAAATTTTCGGAGTGGCCATATGAGCACAAAAGACGGTGATCGTTCTGGACGCCCTGTTAAGGTTACCACTTCAGAAATCATTGATAAAATCCATGATATGGTAATGGCTTACAGAAGAGTGAAGGTGCGTGAGATGGCTAGTACTGTAGGCATCTCGAGCAAATGGGTACATAATATTTTGCACCAACATTTGGACATGAAAAAGCTATCCGCTAGATGACCAAAAACGAGATCGTGTGAAGTGTTGCAAGAATGGTTTGCAGCTGTTCCAACCAAATCCGCAAGACTTTAAGCATCGTTTCATCACTGTAGATGAAACATGGATACATCACTACACTCCTAAGACTAAAGAATAGTCTAAACAATGGGTTACCAAGGGGGAATCTGCTCCGTAAAAGGCGAAGACAATTCTTCTAGCCAGGAAGGTTATGGCGACTGTCTTTTGGGATTCGCAAGGAATAATCTTCATCGACTATCTGGAAAAGGGTAAAACCATTACAGGCGAATATTATTCATCGTTATTGGATCGTTTGAAAACCGAGTTGCTAGAGAAACGTCCACGATTGGCCCACAAAAAAGTCCTCTTCCACCACGACAATGCGCCGGCTCACGCCTCAGCAGTTGTGGCCGTAAAACTGGTGGAGATAGGGTTCAAACTCGTTTCACATCCCCCCTATTCTCCAGACTTGGCTCCGTCGGACTACTATTTGTTCCCTAATATGAAAAAATGACTGGCGGGGAAAAGATTTTATTCAAACGAGGAGGTGATTGCAGAAACGAATGCCTATTTTACAGACTTGGATAAATCCTATTATTTAGAAGGGATTAACAAACTAGAGCAGCGTTGGATGAAGTGTATAAGCCTAAAAGGAGATTATGTTGAAAAATAAAAAAGATTTATTAAAAAAAATCAAGCAGTTTTTATTTTTGCACGGACTTTTCAAACGACCCTCGTATATGGTTATGAACTTTGACTCTTGTCTTAATGCAATCATATAATACGTGAGATGATGCCGTTATCTATACTAATTAATAGGTATAAATGCGCTAGTTTGGCGCAATACAGTGAAAAACCGAGAAAATTATCTAGGAGCCCATAGATAGGATTGTTACATAATAAATAGTTGCCAATCATTACCTGTGTTCAGCACATTTATTTTCGCTCATTAGTTTTCGAATATATATAAAATAAACGGAAGTTCCTCATTTTGAGAAAAATATTCGAAATGGGTGATCTCGATAACGATAGAAAAAGAATTTAGTACCTGGAACTAAACAATTTTTTTCTTTTAATTTTAAGCATCAGGGTTCGGAAATTAATTTCGAAAGGTCTGCATTTCGAAACAAGTCATTAAGTTCATCTTTATTAAACCAATGAATATTTTCATTTGACCATCTTCAAATTTTAGTCGTTTCTACAATCCGACCCTTTGCTGATCTTTGAATTCTTCAAATAACATTCTTGCATCATAACTTTCTATTTCAGAAACTTTATCTATAGATATTTAATATTTACTTTCATCCCAACCAATGCTGAATAAAACAATTTAAGCATGTGTTACCCCTTGAATAGATGCTTAGAATTACAAATTATTCTTTTTATTATGCCCAGATGTATTAATTAGACAGAAATAACAATCAGTGTCATGATCAACTGGTTATCGACAGATTGTAGGTGATAATTTGTTTTTTTGTTCCTGCAATTGGCAATGAGCAAATGATACATAAGATTGTTCGAGTCCATGAAATTGCATTTGAATGTATATTAAAACATTTTTTCTAACGTTTTTTAATGTCTTCATTAAAATTTCTTGTTTGTCCTTAAAAATATATTTCGCACAAACGATGCGAAAATTGTTTAACCGCTGATAACATGAAATTATTTTTGAGCTTGTTGCATTAAACTCTAAAACTACTAAGTCTTCCACCGATTTAGAGTTGCGATCGCATGATGACGACGATTGTGAGCTCGCTTGCTCATCTTGACTTTTCCTCGATACTGGCTTTCCTAATCCCTGCATCGTAAGATACTTCTTTATGCCTGCTATGATAGCTTCAACGGCTTTATCCAGATTCGTCGCCGATGACTGGTTGTCCACCGTCACTCTGTGGAGGTGTTTCGAGGGTAGACACTAAAAAATTTCGATTTTTGTAGTAACACACTTATTAATGTGTACGAGGTCTGTTTAAAAAATATCGCGAATTTCCGCGGGCTACGTAAATTTAATTTTTGATTTTTTTGTAGCGTTCTGTTGGTACTCATGTCCATTACTTATGCTGACAAGATCGGCCATTTAGAACGTATAGTTAATTTTTGACAGCTATTTTGCTTGAATGAGTTTTTGGCTCGTCTTCGATTTTTGCCTATTCTAAAAAATGGATCAAAGAACCTGTATCAAATTTTGTGTGAAAAACAGATTAAAGTGCGCGGACGCATTCCGAATGTTGACCGTGGCATATGGTAAAGCCACCTTGGACCAAAGCAACGTTTATCGGTGGTATAAAATGTTCTCAGAGGGCCGAGAAGTTGTGAACGACGGACAACGTGCCGAACGTCCGAGCACGTCAACATGTGATGTTCGTATCATGTTTTATTTATATTATTGTTCGTACTCTCGTGGTCTGTTGCGTTAATGAGTACGAATTTGTTTCATTTTTCAAAAACTTCTAATTATTACTATGAAATAAAATAATAAATAATATATATGATTATATGAGTGAGATTTCAAGGAAAAGATAGACTTTACCCTAGTTTATAATGGTGCGAAGTATCCCATAAGCAGGACTTAAGTCTTTCTTATAAAAGGATGTAATTTAGCCCAAGTTTCTCATAGCGCGAAGTGTTCTATGAGTCGAGCACAAATTACAATAGGAAAAGAGAGGATTTGTTTAGTTAATCACTATGAGAGAAAGAACTTAGGTATTAGCCAAGTTTATTCAATCTCACTTTTCAAGGCTAGGAGTGAAGCTAGCCTGTGCAAAAATCAGCGTATTTATACACAGATTTTCCCGCCTATTTTCGCAGGACAGTTCTCTTCGAGTTGTTTACGTAATTGTGAGAAATCATTTTTCCAAATTTATAAGAGAATAAACAGTAATAATGAAATTTTAAAACATGTAAACTTTACAAAAGTAGATATTGATCATATCAGTATAATTTACAATTATCGCAAAAAGTATCGTCAAAAGTTATTAGACAATAAAGTTAATTAATGTGATAGCACAATATTTACAATAAAACAATAATAAAAATTTACACAGATTAATAGTTTAAACTGGCTTTTACACCATGATAACGCCCCTACTCACACATTGTTGTTTGTGCGCGAATATTTGGCCAAAAATAACACAGTAATGATGCCGCAGCCATCGTATTCTTCAGACCTGGCCCCCTGTGACTTTTTCCTGTTCTCAAAACTGAAGAGGCCCATGAAAGGACGACGCTACGTCACGATTGAGAAAATAAAGATGGCATCGAAAGAGGAACTGAACAAGATCACACAAATGATTTTTTTAAGTGCTTCGAGGATTGGGAAAAACGTTGGCACAAGTGCATTACGAGTATATCCGATGGGGATTACTTTGAAGGAGATAAAATAGATATTCATGAATAAATAAATAATTTTTGAAAACATACAAAATTCGCGATACTTTTTGGACAGATCTCGTATGTTCTTAAAATGAATGAACAAATGATTACACATGATTTATAGAAAAGATATTAGTTTACGTGTAGTTATTAAGTTCTTTTCTTGTTATTGTGTTGTAATCAATTTACGTGGATGTAATACGTTTATCTCTGCAAAAAAATAAGATGTATACCCATGTATTGCCGTATTTTATTTTTGACAATAAGTTGAAATTGAAATTAAACTGATTAGTCTAGTAGAGTTATTAAAATTCAACTTGATACTAAACATTAACGTTAGTAGTAGTACATTTTATACCGAATCTCAAAAAGAAATTATTTTGCTGACTGATAGTTATGAAATAGAAGATAGAGAAAAATTCCAAATGAAACGTTAATGTTTATAAATTTATGTAGAAATTACATAAAAATTCTTATATTCAATATTTAAGAATATAATTTTAATACCTTTAACCTTGAAATTACGTACTTTGAAAATTGATACTAAGGTCAAAGTTATTTTAGTTAAGTAATCCTCATTATCCTGAATAATTTGTGTCTAAACATTTTTTTTATTCCAAATAGCAATAGAGACATTCAGATACATGAATTAAAATGAGCTACTTTCATATCAGTTATGAAAAATCGTAATGTTATATATTGATATATTATTTATTGGCATAAAATAATTTTTAAAAAGTTATGTCTCATTTGAAAGATATGATAGAAGTTGTTTTTAGTATAATAATATATACAGTATATATTTTTTCAGATCAGAAAAGGAAACATTACGAAAGAAAATGATGAATCTACAAAAAAAAATTTTAGTTGGTGGTGAAAATCTTCTAGAAAAAGCCGAAGCTCAAGAGCATTTGTTAGCAGTTTCAGCCAAAGAACTTGATGAAAGAAAACGTATTGAAGAAAAATTGAAAAAAGCAATTGAAGAAAAAAAAGCTGAAAGAATTGATATTGAAGAGAAATATGCCACGTTACATGATGAGGCAATTGGGAAAACGAAAAAATTAGCAAAGATACATTCAATGTTATTGTCTGTAAAAGCGGAATTATCTGATTTGCAACAAGAACATCAACGCGAAATGGAAGGTTTGCTAGAAGGAGTTCGAAGCATAGGAAGAGAGCTCCAACTGCAAGAACTTCTTTTAAATAATTATATCCCAGCTGAATATCAGGTATGTTACTGAACAATTGAATAGCGCATTAAAATTAATAACAAATATGATTATTGTGGACACAAAAATGAGTATTTATTATTTATATTCTAAAGTTGATATTTCTCTTTGACCCTTCCCTTTTCATGTTTTTTCTCTTTCTTGTTCTCTGCATATAATCAATAAACAAGGTATGTCAAGCAAATAAGAATGTGATACAATTTAATACAAAGTACAACGCCAGTGTTACCATTCCAAGACTTCTATTAGTAGTGCGTGCTTATGGATGGAGATACTAGTTTTACTTAAGCTTTCTACGTATATTTATTAGCGAAAAATATTAGATAATTGTTTTAGATTCTTGTTGAGGACTAGCGTTGTTTAAAAATTCATGAGATCACATAAGTTGAGTATAAAAAGTACATTGTGTGACGGTAAACGTCAAATTAGCGCTGATTATTTAGCTTAATTGCTGCCTGTGAGGGCAGCTCCTGCCGGGGGGACAAAATACGTAACAGAGGAATTCGGCACGCGAGCAGACGGAATGCGCGCGATAGAATTCGAACCAGTGAAGCTTAGACCATCATAGTGTCCGCCCGCCTTCATTTTGAGCTACCGATCTACGTGCCGCAAAATACCGAAACTCGACGAGAACGATAACTGTCAGCTAGCTGTGACCGCTGTTCACGGAGAGCCACTCGTCTGCAGAGGAAAGGGAGCACGAGTCATCGAAAGAGAGTGTGAGGTTTCGACATCGAGGGCGAAACCATAACCGCATGCGCGCGTTCGCGACCGGCAACAAAGACAATTATAAACAGTTTCGTGCAGTGTGACTGCTCTTCGTTTTCTCTGATCACCTGCAAATATAAGGTAAGCTGGCCAGCTTAATTTCGCGATCGCGATTGCGTGATTAATAATCAATTTCTAATATTCGATGCGTGCATGTAACGACTCTAATAACAAAGAGCAGCGAGCGTACCGGCAAAGCGTGTTGTCGATGAGCGAGCGTCAACGTAAACAAACGCGCGGGTCAACCTTCTGTAGAGTATGAGGGATAATAAAAGATCTAATTCGTATTACTAACAAGTGCTTTTCGATTCACTTATACCTCATAGCTTCCACTCACTTTCCTTAGATAAGAGAACTTACTGGTTGACTGGCGCCTGTCTTTGCATGCTCTCCGATTTACGTACTGAGCATAATTAACTGCGCGCGTCCTTTTAGTGTATTTGCGCGCATAAAATAATTAAACGGTTTTACCCCGTTACAATTGAAAAATCAACTCTATTATATCTCCATTATAACCACGATTATCTCCTTTTATGCAACCCCCAAACTTTTCACACTTACAAGGGGACATCCAACCCTGCGGTTGATGGATTGGGCTCAAATTTGGTGAGGGGCCTTCTTTTACCATGAAATGAAAGCCCTTCGATGGATTCCATACAATGGACCCTCTGAACCAAGTTATCGATGGGCCAATATCCAGAAATAAGCAATATTTTTGCAATCATTCAGGGCTATGAGCTCTATTATAACTCAGCCTTTATTTGAATATAAAGTCTCATAATTCGGTATCATACCTTCAATTTGCCTAAAAAAGCTATGTCTTACTAGGATAGATTACTGTTAATTTCCTACTTTATATTACTTCAATAAGTATAATACGGATACTATCAATTTGCAAGAAATCTCAAAACATTTTTTCTATATTCTTATTCAAAGAGACTTGTACACCTATTGAAATGACTAAATTCACTTACAAAAGTATACAGGATACTGCTTGCATAAATATAGCAAAAGCCAATTTCCCAAACAATGAAAAGTTAATCAAAAGTTAATCAAGGTAGTCGATTTGATTAATCGAACCGTTCATGATTCGTCCACTCGTGATGTCAGTTCGAACGACTAAGAGAAAGAGGGGGCGCGCGAGAGTTTAAATATTCAGTTAATCCTCAGCTGTTACTGGAATAGTACTGCCAATTAATTTGCACAGATATTCGCCGTTTTTTTAATAAAAAGTTTTCCTGGGATTTTGATACGTGCGTGTGTGTGTAGCGGAATCAGCAGCAGCAGTATTACAGCAGCAATAAGCAGCAGCAGATTTATGAGCGAGGCAGCGCGGCTGATATTTGAGGAGCATCGACCGTTGATTTTCTTCAACAATTACGGCTGATCGCCGTAATTGCACCGCAGGGTGGGTAGGTATACTTCACTTTATTATTTCGCGACGAAATACTTTCGAAAGTATTTTGTCAATCGTGAGTGTATTTTTTTGTATTCGCACCGAGCGTTAGTTTCGCGGCAAAAGTTCGAATTCTCTTTCTCTCTCTCTCTCTTTCTCTTTCGGTCACCGAATTATTACCAATAATTCTATTTCACGCGCGTTAGTCTTTCGGCCCATATAAGACTGTAGTTTTTATTAATTAAATATTGTTAATTTTATTCGCCGTGTTACGTAATTTCGTTTTCCTAATAGCTTAATAGGTCTATAAAGGATTAAGTTTTAATCCGATTAAGTCGGATTAAGCATTAAGTCACTCATACCTAAGACAGATCGAGTGTCACAAGTCAGATGACTTAAGGTGAGTTTAACTCGATTGGAAAGAAGACACTGAAACGAAAGTAACAAACGTTAAGGCGAATACACGTATAACTATACGTGTTTAACGGAGTGGCGGTTAGCTCTGCATCGTGGAAGTTTGTGCGTTAATAAATTTCTCATTTTGTAGGATAACCATCCCGTTACAAAGTACATTAAAAACTGTTAAAATAACTTTAAATAATGGAACAAAATTAGAGCGAGTAGTATACAATTTTGAGCTTTTATCTCAATAATATTTTGTAAAATTACCCTTTTATCACTTTATCTATATGCGACACTGATGATTAAAAATCTAACGAGTTATAGGGAATGGTAATTCCCACAAGCAATGCAAAGGCCCGTGCCTAACCGTCGTATCACAAATTATTTTTTTAATGGGGAAGGTAAGGGAGGCTCTTTCGCTCCTCTGAACGATGACGGTGGGCCTCGTCATTAAATTAGCATTGGGCTTTGGCTAGAGAGAAAAGGAATGTAAGGCGCACACAATAATCACTTGCGATAACCGTTAACAATATTTATTCTCGACTTTTAGCAATAAAGAGTGACGACGCGAGTTCACGCGTTGTTCTCAACGAATACAAAGGAGGGACTCGTTACAATTACGGAATTCGTCGTGTTCACGGAAGATCGCGATCACTTTACCGACGCGTCGCGCACTCACGGATGTAGAGAGAAAAAGATAGGAAGAGAGAGAGACGACCTGACCTGGTGAGGGCTGCTGGCAGGAATCGCCGCTGATGCCGCTGCAGGAACTATTGCTGGCAGGAACTGTTGCTAGTAGTTGCTGGCAAGAACTGTTGCTGGTAATTGCTGGCAGGGAGGAAATACTGCTGGACTGCAGGCAAGCTCGTGGCAGGCTCGGATGTGGATTCCTCGATGCTATCGTCGTTGGAAATCCTCTCCCTTTGCTGCTAACTGCTTGTCGTCCTCTGCTTCTTTGTCTGATAGGGTCTCTTTTGCGTGCGCACGCTCGATCGTCAAAACGATCCGTCTAACTCAGAATCTCGGCTCGAACTCTCCCCTCTAATCATTCGCGCGTCGGCTCGAACGACGCCGGCGGCTTCGCTCTCGCGGGCGGATCGCCGCGGGTCACTCGCGCTTGCTTACTCTCTACTCGCGACGCGTCATTTTCTCTTTCTTCTTCTTGCCGCAACCACTCTCGCTCCCAATTGGCTCCAAATGACGATGCCCGGCTCAGGTATTGGTCCTGAAATAAACCGGTGCGAGCATCGGTATTATTTTTTTAATCCGGTTCGCAGTTTCAAACGCTCGCCAGGGCAATAGCGAAGGAGCGAGGCTGCGAGAGAGAGAGAGAGAGATAGAGAGAGAGAGCGAGCCAGACAGGGCCGGCTATCCTAGCCAGGGCCCCGTCACAGCCCCCCCCCCCCACCCAAGTCATTGATCTCTCTCCTACGATCGACCGACGATCATCTTCCTCCTCTCCGCGAGTGCCCAAAGCAATGTTCGCTCATAAAAAAGACAGAATAATAGGATCGAAAGGGTTATACATCTCCCAATAACCCAATGCACGCGTCGAAGTTACATGCACCTCGGTCCCCATTCAACCCTTTCATGCATACAACACGAGAATAATCAAAACAATAAAATAAATTAAAGTCTAGCAAACAACACTCTACTCACAAACGTCAAACTACACCTGTTCCCGGGAGAGCCCTGTTTCCAGGTCACCAGAACTCGGGGCCAACTCGGCGAAGGGTGGATCGACCACCATCTTCTGAGCTCCCAACACAGGAGGAGTAAGGCGGCGAGCCACCTCCTCATCCCTGCGGTATGAGTTAGAGGCTCGATGCTCTTCTCTAGCATCGTTCCTCATCCGTTCCACAAGAGGGTCGCCTTCAGCCTCTTCTTCATGCCGAGCGGCTAACGCTCAAGGAGCTTCTATCCGAGTTCGCTTCTTCCTACCTCCCCGACGTACTTTCTTTCGCCTTTCGGGCGCCGCGTCGGTCCGGCCGTCCTTTGAGTTAAGGTCGCCGATTCCATGTTCGCCAGGGATTCCAAAATCGCTCGAGGTTGGAGAGCGTCGGATATACCAGGCATATGTACTGGCGGAATGCCTGAACTACGGGCCGCCTGCACTCGAGTCATGATGTGCGCTCGGAATGCAATTGCACATCGTTTGCAATTGTTCACGGACACATCGTATCGTCCACAATTGCGGCAGAATATCTGCGGGTTGGCCACTTCTGGACACCGCGACCGCGGATGGGAACCGGCTCTGTATTTAAAACAGAGATACGGTACCACGTCCCTCTCCGTGTCAAACGGTACCGGGGCCAAACCACGTAGAAAGATGCGTGACAGCCTGTTACCCTTCGCATCCGTCCACGGCTGCGGCCCCTGCGGTGCTACGGTACGAGCTGCGGATTGGGGCATGGAAGCCCGCGAAATCCCGCTC